AAAGTAAGGTGTAATTTCAGAGATCATCTTTCCTGTATTTCTGTAACTTGAACACATATAAGAATTACCTGGAAAGCTTAATAAGATATAGATCCTGGACCTCACTCCCAGCAATTCCAGTTTAGGAAGTTCAGATAAGATCAGTAACAGTGCCTTGTCAAGCCTTCTCAGAGCCTGAGGTACAAATAAAAATCAGTAATACTGATCTTGTCTTTAAACAAAATGTTGATTTTTTTAAAATGACAGATTGTTTTACATTAACTTTTATTTCTTAAATATCGTACAAAATATTCTGTATCTTGATTGGGGAGTTTTGGGCATCCCCTTAAATTATGTGCCCAAAGTGAGTGCCTGCCTGACTCCCCTCACCCCAACTCCTAAACCTGACCCTAAGAATTGAAAGATGAGAAAGAACAACTTCTTTTTTCTTTTGAGATGATTAGATTGTCTAACTTTCTCCAGTTTTGTCTACAAGGCTTGGGTGAGATGTGGCCAGGTTTGGATGACGATACGGAGGCATCGAGAACTGAAAGGAACCCAGCAGTTTTGTCAGACTGAACAAGACTGACCTCCAGCTGCTCCTTGGATTATAATTACCTGCACAGGGCTGGCCTCCCTCATAAACCCTCCCCTTGTAATAAAGCTGTTTTTCTCACACTCAGAGCTAACTAACCCGAGAGAACAGAGATGACTCATAAGTGAGAAGGAGCTCTGGAGAACAGGGGTAGGGTCCGGTCTTTCTGAAACTATCACCCCGGAGCGAGTCTCAGTTGTTCAGGTACAAGCAGGAGAAATAGGGCACATGTGTCTTGTTACCATCTACTTTACACGTCATTCCAAGGTTCTGATTATTGGAAAAAGTAAGAAATATTGTCCTATTGCTGTTTTACATTTGATACATCCTTAAGATTGAACACTACACTGGTTCTATTGTATTTCAAAGGTTAAGGAGAGACCTCACAACTTCCAAAAATATCATCTTATCTCATTTTGTACAAATGTGCATTGAAGAGAAGACTGAATGGAAAAGCACAACATTTTGCATTTGGTAATTTTCTTCTGGGTGATGTGATTATAAGGGTTTTATTTTCTTCCTTTGCTTTTCTCTACTTTACAAATTTCATACAATGAACAGATACTTTTATTAAAATCAGAAAAGAAATGTTAAAATGTCTAATGTTAACTATAGACTGTTTCTTACTTGACTATTGGGTATCCAGTACCGAAGGTGGGCCTGAAAGGTAATTCAATTTACAGCATCGTTCACTTGCCTATTCCTATTATATGGCCAATTCGTAAGCTATGGAAAAGACACACTGTTTTTTTTTCTCCAGCCCCAATTTCTGCCCCTA